AGCACTGCTCTTTTATTTCCATCTTTTACAGTTTCAAAGTAAAAAGAAGGAAAATTGCTTGAAGCAAATGTTTGGGCACACTGCATGGTCTGTACTTAGTAACCGTCCCCCTCACCCCCAGCAAGTATCACATCTTGTAAACAGTTTTTGTAACAGCCAAGAGTTCTTCTTGTCTGGGGGAATGTTAACCCAGTTTTCCTGAAAAGTGCTCGTTATGTGAGGATTTTGGGCCATCTTGCATGCACTGACCTTTAAAGGTCTATTTTCAGATTTTCAAATCTGATGTGTGGTGTATTGCAAATTAGAGGCTTAGAGAGTTTTGGCACCCCTTTTTGCAAACATACTTTTGCTTTTTGCTGCTGAAATATACTCTATTTAAATACCTTCCTTTACAGAACTTGTTTGCAAAATGGAACATGCTTGTTTAGAACTTTACTTGATAGTTCCTAATTTTGTGGTGAGAATGCACAAAGCCTTGATATTTTTCCAAATGTGGCTGAGTGATTGACCAGAACACCACCAACCTGGATTCTCATAAGCTCTTTTACAGTTAATTGTAGAAGCAGTTCTCCAGAAAAGATTTCTCTGTCTTCTGAATCTCCAACCTTTACACCCCGTGGGTACTGCTCACTGCTATGTCTTCATTACATTATCAGCTGAGGAAAGGGCTGACTAAAAAGGTTTTACTATCATTGTATAGCCTTATGTCTTTTGGAGTCCAATTCTTACTTAACCTATACAACAAAGAAATTAGAACAGTGGGGTTGCTGATTTCAGTTATAAGCACTTCAATGGCATGCCATTCTTTATTTCTTTGATTATTTCTTTGATTTATTTTTTTAATTTAATAGGACTCTACATGCACTTTTAATGTTTTATGTTGGCAGCTGAAATTAATGTTATGGACTGTCATCACTGAGTTAGATAAAGGCTTCAAAAAAGATGTCTGAATGTGGTTCAAAGATGGCTGCAGGAGCTGCAAGACCAACTTGTAGAAAGACTTAGTTTGGACCGAGGAGAAACAGAGCTGTTCTTTTGGACCAATATTAGAAATTTAGATGATTCATTGTATTATGCACGTTGGAAATAAAGACAGTGATTTAGATTGAACAGTCAAATTCTTGTTTTTCTATTCCCCTTAAAAAATAAAGTTCCAAGAAGAAAGATGAAGATTCTTGAAAGTTACAAAGAAAGAAGTGAATGTAATGTATGAAAACACTGAAAATAATTAAAAAGACAATTATTGGTGTGGGTGTCCTACCATCCTTGCTCAAACAAACATATTAGATATATAGTATGATAGATTGATATTTTGGGGGACTCATCAAAGGAACCCTCTTTGGTGTCTCCTAATTTCAAAATAACTCATGTACACTCATCACCACTTTTGTGCATCAATATGATCAACTTCTAAAGACCTCTACAAGTACAAACTAAAATATTAAGGAGCATTATAACTCCCTTAGCCCAGAATTAGAACAGTGCGGTTCATTGAAGCAGTTTGCTGCTCTGAGGGATAATTAATTCAGATTTTGATGCTACTGTAGCAAAACCATTTTGACTGGTGTACATTGGCTATCAGGGATAATGTGAATGGTTAAAGCGGCACTAATGGTTTTGTCCACCTAGTGCTTATTATGGGTTCATTAAGTTGATTAAGCTCATTGTAAATCAACCTTATGATTAACAATAAACTTAATCAGCTACATTAATACAATACAATACAATACAATATTACACACATACAGACACACAGACACTTTCATGCTTTTTTATACCAAAGTCGACGCCAGCAACAGCTGATGATTAGTTTTCTGTCAAAGCATTGCTGATCTTGAAATTTTAGATATTCACACTGACTGTGATAACCTGGTATGCCTCTTGAAATCCTTACATTCTGTGCTTTAATAATGTGTTACACATCTTTGCTTTCACCTCCCACAGTTCTCAAGTGACCACCGGGAGCCCTTACCACTGTCACTCACCTCGGGTGTAAAGGGAGGGCGAACAAGGCTGCCCAGTCGTTGGCCAAGTATTTATCTCAGAGCTATGTCAGCTTACACTCAAGTAAATCTGCTTGTCACTGGCTGCACAGAACTATTAAAAGCACACGCATGTTTAGGATGATAAGGGCACGGCAATGACTTGCATTAGCTTGTGGAGAACATTTTGCTTAGTGATAAAATTAGAGCTTGTCATCTCCTATGGGCTAAATCTGAAAATGATGAGATGTGACTAGACTGAATGAGTTTGTTTTTTTTCCGTGTTTTTTTCCCACTGTTTCTTTTTTCTCACAGTAGGCTAGTCTAGTGTTTTGTGTTTTGTCTTGCTTTACCTGGGTTCATTGGCCCAAGTGTCAAAACGCTTTGTTCGGTTAACTGCTCACTACTACAGGCTGTAAGCCTGTCTCTTTTTCTCAGCCTGCCTTCAGTCATTTTTGTAATCAGTTTGTTACAGAGACTTATTTTGAATTGCAGAAAATCTGATTCACTCCTAGGCCTCATATTGTGTCTACTAAAAGCATTTCATTTCAGCAGGATTTAAAACTGTGTTTCATACAAATGTAACAAGAATACGCCGACTTCCATTGCTGAGCTACAGTGGTGTACTTGTGGTGACAATGCTAATTTTAAAAAAATATGTGATTTTCTTCAATCTCATAAAAAAAGATTACAGTACAACAGAACTGTTAACATGTTCTGCAAAATGCATTATGGTGATTGTACTTTATTTGTCGAGGCAATGTCGGACAATCATACAATAACATAAAACTAATGTGTTAAGTCAAATAATCTTTTATGGGAAATGTAATGCCAAGGGATTAGGCCTTTTTTTTCTTCTTTTTTTTGTGACAACTGGCAGCTGGGACAGGCACAGAACATGAGGACAGAGAGCAAAGAGAATGAAACGTGACAGAAGTCCCTCACTGGAATTGAACTGGGTACATTGCATAATGCTCACCTTAAATTACTGGTGCACAGGGACACAATTCTGGCATATGCTTTATCGACACAACAGTGTTGTACAAATACGAATACATTGATTAGTGTGTTATAACATCTTCCTAAAAGACTTCTTCATCCTCATACACTTGAAAATAATCCATTAAAAATACCTAACAGCAGGCATTTGTGGAAGCCACCATGTTGCCCCGCCCATCAGTGACTGCAATACAGTGATGGGCACTGGAACTCTGTCTAATCACATTGTATCCAAATAACAACAGACTGGACACATGCATTAAAATTTGCCTTCATGCCACACAAATGCCTATAAGTAGTTCTTATAGGCATTTGTGTGGCATGAAGGCAAATTTTAATTCATGCCTGCACTTTCTGACTCAGGATATGAAGGCTCATACCTATGATGAATTGGAACCTCTTCTCAAATGATGAAACAAAGAAGCAAAAACGTGAAGCCAGAGGATCTACATAAAGCATTATCCTCTTCCTTCTCATCTGAAACTTCATATCCTGAACTGAATTCAAGACTCAAACACATAAAAACATGCATAAACGTACTCATTTATTATTACTGTCAAAATTACGTATTGTCAGCAGATTAGACATGTGACAAAAAACACAAAACAAAACAGAACAACAACAGCAACTGGTTATAAGCTAACGTGTTAGCTAATTTTAGCCAGTGTGCTAAAAATCAGATTTTCCCTCTGATGAACAGTTTCATTACATTCTCACGTAGTATGTAAATTATTAGTTAAGTGTTCCTTCAAGAACATTAACAACAAAGTTTCACTAAGGAAGGGTAACAGAATCTCCTTCCCCACCCAACATATTGACACTGCAAACTTACTGATACATTGCAAACATAGTGGCCTACACCCACTACAGAAAAAAATGGAGGCAGAGTTGATTGTCCTACACCGGCCACTAGGATAATGCACTTTAGTTAGGAGCAATAAGCTAACAGAATTCAGTTGACTGCAATTTGCAATACAATAACATCTTTTGGTGAGATTTTACACAGTGTACCTTTACTACTATTACTACTGCCCAAAAAACACTCACGGTAGCATTGTTAAAACTGACTAATCTAAACTTTACTAGTCCTGTCAGCGTTAATCTCGTTAAAATAACGTTAAATTGTTTTCCCCATTCCCAACAAACTGCATGTGTTTGCACATTTTGCAGTGACATTTTGCACATTTTTTGATTGAATTGACTAAATGCATTTCTACTGGGGGTTAATGTTCATCCAGAGTCTAGAACCACCACTGACAGGATGTGAAGCCTCCCTTCCAATGTAGAGATCCTACTATTAAAAAAAATTATCAGTACGACTCTCAGAAAATAGGGTTTCCTTGTCAAGTACAAGTAAAACTGGCAAAAGGTTCACAGAGGAAAGTGATAGAAATTTAAAAAAAAAAAGTCATTCCATATTTTAGGGGGAATTGACCGTTTGTTAATAAAATCAATGGCTGAAAAAAGGTAATAAGGATTAAAAGGAGTTTAGGAAAGTTCGGGATGCAACCTCACCCTCAGATACCACTTGTGTAGACTTCAAAACCCTTCTCCGTTACTGATAGCAGTGCTGAGTGACATTTACTGGACTGAAAAGCCCTCAGAGGTACCAGAATCAAGGGAGGGAAAGTGGGAGGGTGTGAACTGATTTTCGGGAGTGCTTACAGGAAACGGAATTGAAAGCATGTGAAAATAAGAAAACACTTAGGAAGACATTTAGACTGGCAGTGTACACAAACACTCCTTAAAATTAGCTGCATGACACTGATGTTCAAAACTTCAATTACTCTCCCATGATAGTTTCATTAGTGTTTCCAATATTAGCCCCAAAGACGTCATATCACTTAGTCAACAGTGTTTTCCCTGATTTACTAGTAAGCCTCCATTCAAAGCTACACATAATAATCCGTGCTGTGAACCATCAAGAATAACAAAGACCTACATAATGCCTGGAGCTCGGTGTCTACAACAGAATTACATAACACTCTGTCACCCAATAAATTAATATGGATCCTTTACCTTGAGTCCGGTGTGAGAGAGCAGCTGGACTCTTTCTCCCCCTCTTTTTTATCACTGCCTATCCCCAACGTGCCTTTTGGCTGAACGCAGCCTCCGTCTAGCCAATGCTGTTGTGTATTTGTGTGAAACTGTACTGCTCAGCACTGAAGATATCTAGTGTTTCTGATGCCAGTGAGTGGGAGCTACATGCGGCATGCTCATTGGTGTGAAATTGTGAGGTGGGGGGGGAGAGAGCAGCTGAGATGGATGGAGGCAGAGAGTGGGGCTGGAAACAGAGAGAGAGTCGTAGGGGAGGAGAGCTTTGTCTTCATGGGGAAATCTCCGAGGACAGCCCAGAGCACATCTGTGGAGAGGAGAGGTGCTATTCGGTGATGTCAGTGAGGTTGCGTTTGAAAAGATGGGAACGTAAATGTAGCGCAGGAATACAGCTGTGGGTGGCTACTGATGCCTAAGGTTGACTACCCAAAATTCTCAAGAGGAAACTAAAACTATTTGTTTGAAATTAACACTCTAAGAACTGTTGAAATTGGTTTGATTGTGAGGTATTTTAGGACATTAGGGCGATAGCAACAGAAGTCATTTTATTTATTTATTTATTTTGTAATTTTCTTACAGTTTTCTCTCACTTTTTCTGGCCAGGAAACTACATATGAAATTCAACCATTTTAATCTAGTGTTTAATACTTGACTAAGCCTCTGTGATTAATAAAGCATTTTGATGCTGATTTACATGATCAGCATAAAAGACAATCACTTTAATGTCCGTCCTCTGGATCACTAGATGCTGTGCATCCGAACGAACGAAAATAAATAAATAAAGATTACGTAACCCAAAACCTAGTGTACACTCAGGCAAACTGGAACAATGATGATAACATGATTTGGTAGTCAACGAAAGCCCAGTTATCTTGCACTAGCTGTTATTTATCTTTGTGTATGTGCAATTTTGGATAAAACATAAAGACAATGTGTGCAAGAAGTGGGATTGCACCTTCATTTGTTTGTAAGCCAAAAGCATATGGAAAACGGCACATGACAAGCTTAGGGCACATAGATGCGAGTGAAAGTGAAAATTATTTGTCTTACTGCAACGTGAAGAGAGAGATAAGATCTGCAAGGAACTGAGAGTGTGAAGGAGGCAGTCTGGCTGAGAACCAATAATTCTTGCTGCTGAATAGGCAACTAAGTGTTATATAAAATCACACACGTGCACGCATATGCACATGGACGCACACACAAAGCAGTTAAACAGCACTGCCTACGTGCACATGCTCTGAGTTTCCTCCCGTCTCGTTTTCTCCAGCGTTGGATGTGCACTCACACATGGGTAAACGGTGTTACTGTGGTAAAGTGTAAAAAGATTTAGCAGCTTGAGTAATTTACACCACTATCCTTTTGAGAAGGTAACTCTACAAGCCAGTTAAAAACATTTTGCTCTGGAGGTTTCAGGCAACGTTACGCAATTTGACAAGTACTTTGTGTGGAGCGTACTGATGCACTAACCCCCTCCAAGAGAGTAAAGTTAAACTGCTTACTTTCTTGCTGTGTTGCCATCAGTTAAAGAAGATTAATGCCAACTGAAACTGCTTTTTCGCTTCAGAGCAAACTGAATCCCGTACACTACATATTAGGAATTAAGGTGTGCAAAGGATGTTTAAAATTGTTGTAGAAGTAGTGCATAGTCATGCTGGGAGTGTGGCTGCTTTGAGGTGTACAGGTGTACTGATGCACAAAGTTCTATCTGATAGCTGGCTGCCAGAAGTAGTTTTTTTAATGGTGTTTTTGCCTTTTTAGATAGTTTTTTATGGAGTCATTTGACAGATAACATAATATGCCTTGCTGTGTGATTTATTAGGGACATGTGAGATTCAGTTTCGGTGAGTGAAACTGTGGCATTTTAAGACTTTAGGCTAACAAAGCTAGCTAGCCTCAGCTGTTAACTTAGCAGTCTTGTCCAAATATTGTAACTCCTGGCTCCAAAAAAAACAACATGGTGGCATCCATAAAAGAGCGTGTAACAGAAGCCATTAGTCTCTGAACACTAACCTACAGAAATACAAGTTAAAACGGACTTTTACAGGGTTTATAGGGGTACATGTGTTTGGATGGCTAATAAAAAAAAAAGTTCCCTATGCTTTGCCCTAGGTCCGAACCTTTCTTCAGTTTCCAAACTCAAACAACTCTTGGATCATTGAGAGTTAAAAATAGTCAAAATTCCTTCATGTTCAGTAAAATGATTAGTGTGGCTGCTTTGCAATAAAGGTTAACATTCAGACATGGATGAGAAAGAGGATTTACAAAGTCTAGCAAAAGTTGAAGTCAGCAGGAAGTTGGCTCGCTACGTGTCATCTAAAGACAAAATACCATGTTTTGACCGAGGAATTTCTAAAAAACTAAAATGTGCAGCTCCGCTATCACTTTCAACATAAGTGTGGTCAGAAAATTAAACAGCAGAAATGTTTGCAGGGTTACTAATGTTGGGTAGCTGGTACACAATGGTGTGCTACCTAGTAGTTATTCAGTTATGGTTTGGATAATATAAACATATTAACAGAATGAAAATAGAAGATGAATGCTAACTTTTTTTTATCCTCAATAAAAGTTTATTTGAGGCTCCCCAATGGCGAAAGACAAACGCAATCCTATCAGGGCAGGGAAAAAGAGGCTGAAAACAACCAAACTTCAGTCAAGAGAGCCCGTTCGATGATTCATCCACAATACAAAGTTAGTCATTATGTTACTGCGTGGTTTGGATTACTCCCTATGAAAAAATTTGGTGCCTCAGCTTCAGGTACCCATTCAATTCTTAGTTAACCTCAGAGTGATTCTTTTCTGAATCATTTTAATGTTTGGTGTCTGGCATATTGTGAGCCCATGGGCTGTAGTTACATAATATGGTTTTAAAAATTGAGCTTATAAATGCAATGCACATGAATGATGCTAACAAATAGTCAGACAGACTGACAGTCACCTCTGAATATTTTTACTGGCTTGTTTATACATATAAAAAACAGACAGCCTTAAATAAGGAGTTTGGACTCAGAATGAGGGTCGATAAGTCATATGCTTATTCATATGTCAGATTTCTAATCACAGATATACTGATAAGGCAGATGGTACTTATAAAAACATTTGTAAAATTCATAGTTACTTAGAAAGCCATAAATTGCTTTACCCTTTGCTGTAAAACTGTTGTACTCCTTTATGAATAAGCAAAACAAAGTGGCACATAGTAGAACACTGTCTTGTCAAAAACTTGAGAGAATGTCAAATACCTCTAGCCCTTCACTAATCTTACTGAAAAATCTAAGTATATAATACCAGTGCGGCTGGATAAATCACTTAAAGGACATAGTAAATACAAAGATAAGATTAAACACATGGCTACACTTTTTATGGGCAAAAGGCAGTTTGTTAAAAAGAAAAAAAAATCCCTTTGGTGCACTTCAAAAGAAGAGTAAAAACACTCGCAAGACAGTAAAAACGTAAATAAGCAGTGATTCCTTGTTAAGTCTCCTTTTCAACTTGAACTTGATGAACAGGACAAATTTACCCTGTGAGTCACTAATTATGTATTGTGATAAAAGGGAGTGCAAAAAGCACACATCTTTTTCTATGCGCCTAAAACAGGAAATTGTGCTCACACACAACAATGGTTTACACAATCCATTTTTTCCCTCTGTGTGCTAATGTCATCTAGCAATTACACACATTACACAGAGCAGAGAATAATTTGAGCAATTCAAAGACCTTTTCATTTAGAAGAAGGCTGGCCACATAAAGAGGGTGTATAAACAATGTTCACCCACACACATAGTTGGCCAGGTGCGACTTTCATGATGCTGTTTACATCACAGGTTTCCCAGTTGCCTTTGTCTCTTACTGTATCCCTGGGTGACTCATCGGAAATCCTCTCCTGGAAGCAAAAATCTTTACCTCATCAAGTGATTTATGTTTCACGTTGCCTGACACGCACACACCCCCAGCTCTGTCTGACATTTTACACAACTCAGATGTCAGTGATTGAGATTTGAAGGCTGAACAGAACAAAAGAACTAAAGTATTTCTTATATGATCATTATTATTTGTTGGGATATCTTAGTCTAAACCTTCAGCTTTCTTGATGTTGGCTAACAGAACTCTGTTTCAAGGAGAGCAATCCTTGCAATTACATTCTTGAGCTTATGTCCAATTATCTGGATGAGTAGTGTTGTATAGGTGTATACCAATTCATGGGTTTCCAATATGCATTTATGTCTTTTTATAGTACTTACATTTCATTTCTAATCCTCAAGTCTGCAGCTATAACTGCCATTGCTGGTGCATCACTACCTTGCACTCCTTTCTTGTGTGGGGCCACCTGAGAAGTGTATAAATTCTGTGATTCCCAATTGTGGCACCAGAGGCTAAGAGAGAAAAACGCTGAGCACCAAAGACCCAGCATGTACTGCGAGAGGGAAAGGGCACACAAAGACAGGTAATTACCAAGTGCATGCTGGGCCTGCTGTTTTAGTAGCATTCTGCATTTTTCTGTCTAACAAGTGCTGTTTTAATGCATGTGCTTAATTTGGTTTAAGCCTCATGGCATGATGGAAAGGGGGGACATGGCTCAAGAGAAAAAAAATCATTGGCAGGGTGCAGAGTTAATGCAGGTTAACAAAAAATTACACTTCTAAATTTGAATTTTATTCTCAATTTGCACTACTTTTTTGGAACTTTTTTGCTTTTGAATCTTTTTTGAGCTCTTTTGATATTTGTTTAGAGTGTTCACCGTTTGCCAGGCTGTCATTATACAGGTGGTCAGAAGTTTACATATGCTCATAATGGGCAACAATGTCATTATAATTTTTAGGCTTTTAGTGATTTCTTTGAACTGTTCTCTTGCTAGGGTGGAAAGATAGTTAACGAATGATTGTCTTTTCATAAGTGCTGCTGAGGAGTCTACAAGGTCCCTTAATTTGACAAGGACAAGACCTATTAACTTCATGTTAGTAATCATGATTGACTACAGATGGTAGTTTCTCTTTGCCAGTATAAAAAAGGAATTGATTTGACATCCCTCATTGGATTGATCGATACTCAGAACAATGGAAAAGTCCAAGGAACTCGGTGAAGATCTAATATAGACATTTTCAGATACAGATTCAAGGTCATCAGTTTAAGCAATTGCATG